ACAGCCACCTCTCACACTACTCTGTGCGAGGGGGCAACGCCCAAGACATCTCCCTCTCCTGTTTATCAGAATGCCACAGTGTCCAGCAGTAAGTATTTCAGACCCCCATCAGCTACAATAAACTCAATATTACTTACTCAATATTATTTACAATAAACAACTGCAATAAACTCTGTAGTTTATTGCCCACCACCAAAAGACTTCACACACCTGTTCCGGGGGAACTGGGCTGATGACATGTTGATCTCAAAAATCGCTAGAATTGTTAATGAGGCTGTGGTTTTTTGTCTGTGTTATACAAAATCACAGCAGCTCATTTGAACAAACGGCAGTTGCCTCAACTTCTATTTTCTGAGTAGAGGAAGGATGATTTAATATTATAAAGTAAACATTCATACATCGCATTGATGTTCATGTGTGTTTGCTCAAAGGTGATTTGTTAATATTGTTTAAATGTTGTGTCATACCTTAAACTAACCCCCGTTGTTCCATTTTTGCTTTTGCTGTTTGCTGATCATATTTTCGAAGTTACAATGCTTTGTTCTATCTCACATGATTATGTAAATGCAACTGTATGCAGGGCTGGACATTAAGGATGGTCTGCTGACCCAGGGCCAGTGTGAGAGTGTTTGGGCCACTTGACAGACCAGTGTCACTTGTTCTTTTTGTTGCTCCACTGAACGTTCATTGAACTTGTACATCTACTTTGCAAATTTAAACACTTGGTTTTCTGTGATGTATTATTATGCAAATTCTGCTGATTTGTCTCCAAGTTAATATTATCTAATGTCTTATCTAATATTACTAATGCGAATAATAAATTTTAAAGTACTATCCCCACTGAGCCAGCAGAAAAAGAAATTGTTACTGCGGAGTCTGTTTGATTTGATTTAGATTTTCCTCATTTGCAATTCTGCTTTCTACAATTTTGCCAGTGATGCGCAACTTTACCTTTAAGTCAGCACAAATGCATTGAAGCTTGTTTCCACTACAGAATAAAATTTTTTAAAAAAGAATAGCAACTTTTTATCTAACAATTGAGACTTTTTTCTCAGAATTGCAAGTTATAAAATCAGAATTGCAGGAAATTAAACTTGTTGCAACTGCAAGGTTATATCACACAATTCTGAGAAAAAAAAAGTAAGAATTGCGAGATTGTAAACTCGCAATTGTGAGAAAAAAACGCCAGAATTGTGAGATGAGTAGCAATTACCTTTTTTATTTTTTATTCAGTGGTGGAAACAAGCTTCCATACAAATGTTCCCCATTGCAGTGTATTTTATGTCAGTGCATTTGTAATTAGGCACTCTGTGTAGAATACAACAGTGATACTTTCCTTTCTTCCAGCAGGTCCTCCTGTTCCACCGGGTCATCCTTCCATGCTCTCATCCACCCCTCCCGTTCACCCCCCTACCTCAGCATCCATGGTGGGTCCACCAGCCCCTCCAGCCCCTCCGCCCCCTCCTGGGCCTCCCCCACCCGGGCCTCCCCCACCCGGTCCTCCGCCACCCGGGCCTCCACCACCCGCCACAGGGCCCCCTCCTAACCCGCCTCCACTGCCGGCTGGTGGAGGTTCTGCTCCGCCAGGTCTGGCTGCAGCTCTAGCTGGTGCCAAGCTGCGAAAAGTTCAGCGGGTGAGTGGCACTTATCTTTCTCAAACCTCAACATGTTTCACATATTTCTTTTTTTTATGCAAAAAGTTAAATAATAGTATCTTGCTGCCTAATTATTTCATGTTTTATCTTTTCTAGACAGAGGAAAGCAGTAGCAAGAACGATGCCAATCGCTCCAGTGGAGGCAGTGGAGGAGGTGGAGAGGGTCTCATGCAGGAGATGAATGCCCTTTTAGCACGGAGGTCAGAACGCCTCCATTTCCTGCCCTGTTTGTTTCCATAACTAATGATCCATGACTTGTGGCAATACAAATTTTGATTGTTAAATATGATCATTCTGTAGGAGGAAGGCCTCAGAGAAACCAGAAGACAGTCAAAATGTATGACTTTTGTACACTATTTGTCAAAACGCACACAGATTGTGTATTTCTGTTCAATTCCTTTGAAATTGTGTATTACATCAGTCTGATATCTCTTTCTTGCAGGAGGAGTCGAATGGATCGCCTTCATCTTCTCGTGGACAAAATTCAGGTGGTGTTTTTTTAATTACAAAACCATTTTTTTTGTTAATTTAGCAATGTATACTGTATATACACTACCATCCAAAAATTTGAGGTCGGTCATTTTTCTAAATATTTCTAAAAGAAGTCTAATGTTTAACGATGCTAAATATTTGATCAAATATACAGTAAAAAATAATATTGTGAAATTATATTATAATTTAAAATAATTGTTTATAATTGACTTTTCAGCAGCCATTACTCCAGTCTTCAGTATCACGCAATCCTTCAGAAATCATTCTAATATGCTGATTTGATCAAGATACATTTCGTATTATTTTTGAAAACAACTGTATTTTTGTGGAAACCGTGATACTTTTTTTTTTTTAGGATATTCAGAAAACTAAAAACCTTTTAGTAAAAATATATTAATTTGATCATATATTTTTTATGGTAAATTATGAGATGTATTTAGGTTTGGTGAGCAAAATAAAACTGTTTTTGAATGTTCTCCTCAGATCCTGTGAAGAAGCCATGGGAACGAGCAAACTCTGCAGACAAGTCTTCAGCTGTGTCAAGGTATTTTTAACAGGTTTACTATGCAGTAAACATTTCATTCCTCACTCTGTTCTGTGAGTTCTTTGTCTCTTGACACTTGACTTCTTGTTTCTTGTTATTTTAAAACATTTAGTTCCTTTAAAATTGACATTTGTTGAGGCATTCCCCGAAGGATTGCACCAGAGCAGTGAAATGAATGATTTGGTCAAGCTTAGAGTTTGCATATGTGAGTAAATGTCTGTTGCTCTGTTGCCAATACAAATGGTCATGTTAAGGAAGTAAAGCCCTGGGCAACATGAGCCTGGAATGACCTAAATGCAAACAAAGCCGGTTCTGCTCGCTTACGGACAACCACAAAATGTAGGTTTTATGTTTTGTGTAAGCTTGCATCGAATGTTTTTGTAAACACATGGAAAATGACCTCTTTTGAACTCTTTGAAAAAGAACCGGTTATAAAAACTGAGATTGCATCAAAATGCAATATTAATATTTAATATATCTACACGTTTTTTAAAAGCAAACATGACTTGCAGGTACATTTTTGATCATTCAAATTGCATTTAAATATTTATGATGAACATTGTACAGGGCAAAACCAATCGGAAGCACCAGTGATGCTGAGTCATTTGACTTTGACAGAATGAAACAGGTTAGTTCAGAATATCTTTCAAAATGGCATATTATTGTGCTGTGTATTGTGTAAAAAATGAGGACAGATTGGCCTGCTAACGATGATAAAATCTGTTGTGTTCAAAAGGAGATCTTGGAGGAGGTTGTGCGGGAATTGCAGAAAGTAAAAGAAGAAATCATTGATGGTAAGTTTTAGGATGCATGATCACTTTTAAAAAGAATTATACGCATCTTTTCAGTTCTTGAGAATAATAAACATTTTTCTCTTTTTCGTTTAGCCATTAGAAGGGAACTGCTGAGAATTGGCTCCACATAGTCTTAAGAAATGTCAACGACTACGACAAATGACGACTGAAGGTTTGGGGAAGTACAGGAACGCACACATGAAAATGTTCTCGCAGCATGTCTGCAACGCTATGGAAAATTCAGTTGCAGAAATCTTGTGCAGATACAAGGCATTATTGAGAAGGACAAGGGAAAGCTGAGGAACAGAAGGAATTGGAGCGAGTGATTGTGTGTAGGGATGAGTGAATGAACAAGCAAATGGAAATATAGACCTTCACACTGAAATTTCTATTTCCTCCAGTATGAACGTTGAGACAGTCCACTGTGCAGCTTGCTGCTCTCGCTCTTTCAAGTCTTAAAGTCAACAAATTGGAAATTGATGAAGATATTTTTGTTTTCTAAGTTTTTATCATTTCATTGGTCATTGTTATTATTGTATTATATTAAATGAGAGAGATACAAAGTTGCACGACAGCCTTTTATATTTTATATTACTGCTCTTATTCTTTGGTTTCAAGTACAAACTGCACACATTTGTGCTAAACTGTCAGCAAACTACTATAGTTGAAACAGTTTGAGACATTTTGGTTATTTTGTTTGTTTGTTTTTGGCCAATGCAGAAGTTCAGTAGAACGGATTTGGAGGTATGAGGTTAAATATAGATGCTCTTTTAATGAGCTCAAGAGATGGACATGGAAATATATACGTGTAATATATATATATATATATATATATATATACACACATAACGTTATTGAAAGTGGCTTAAAGTATTAGGTGAATTGTTTGAACGTACAATGTATCCTGGTTTAATTAGGTTGATCCTGATTTTTAAAGTTGATGTTGATATTTCACAGAAATTACAATTAAATTAAACATGTTGAGAGTGAGATTGATGGAATTAAAAGAATTTTAAAAGCTTTTTCTTTTAAACAGTCTTGTCTCATGCGTCTAATAAAAACATTCTCATTGAACATTAAAAAACGACCCCTTACAAAATCTCTCTGCCATTATTCAGATTCATCATGTAAGAAGGAAATTTATTGAAATACATTGTGCTGAACAAATCTATTCCACAACAATATGGTGTTCATAGTTAAACCGTCACAGTGCAAACAACAGAATGTATTAAACAAAATATTTAAAGACTTCTAGTTACACAACAGTGCATAAAACAATTAAATATTCAGTTTTCAAAAAAGCCTCTGATGAAAAGGAATTAAGTCCACTTAATCATTTCATCTCAGCACTTCTTTCCTCAGGTACATATTAACTGGCATCTCAGTAGTTGGATTTAGTTGAGAAAGTGGCAAAGGTGATAATCACAAATAACTGCATTGATATTAAACATGGATACTATAAGAACAACAAAAGATCTAAAAGTTTCATGTCTTAATTAGGTATGAGGCTTAGCTGATTAGCTGGGCTTTGATACACCCAAACAGTAAACCACAAATCATGTAACACGGTCCCAGGCGCAGGGAATGTGCAGTTATTGTTCAAACATTGTACAGATGGATCTATATGAAATGCTGTGACAGAATGAAAAGGGTATGCAGGTTCACGCGTGAAAGGGTTTGTTCCTTTTTAATTTAATGCCTGCAAGTGCCTCACAGATTTGTGTAGAACTTTGTGTAAATACCTTATATATTTGGTTAGATCAGTAGTCTAATACCTAATTCATTCCTTTTTGCCAAGTTTGTATTGTCTCTTGATTCTGGCGTAGGGGCCGATTGCATCATCAAATACAAAGTCCCAGAGCACTCGCATCCAGGAAGTGTGTTGAGGGAGTGAGTCATAGTACTCTGCTGCAATTCTCTTGACCTGCAAAATGGGAAAGGTCAGAAAATAATCAGAAACGTTGATAATGAGATTTCAGTTTATATACAATACAGTATGTGAACCAAAGAATACGAACAAAATACAATACAGCTAATAATTATACTTTACGGTTAAAATTTTAACAGATACAGTACACTGCATGAGTAATCAGTTTACAGACATGCCTTGGGGTTCTTTCACACTGAAGGTGTGAGGTCTATAAGCTATAAATGCAATTAAATTGCCTTATGGACACCGATATCAAATATTAGTCTTTCTAGTTAGTCTCACACATTCTTCCTCTTAATCAGTAACATTGTCAAAATCAATAGAGGGTTTTACATTCCCATGACATTTCCACTTAAGCTCTAGCCTGAAAAGTAAACTTCCTGAGAAGTATTACAATTCTGGGGCCGGATTCACTCAAATTATCTAAAGAAGGAAGTTAATTAGTTTCCTAAGCAAAAAAAAATAAAACATTTTGGAATTGAACTTATGAATTTATCTTAAGAATAAAATTACAGGCTTTGGTGTTATCTGATTGTTTGGCAACTTTAAACTACTTTTCATTAAAAGAAAAGTAGTAGCAATAGAGATGTACAATATATCAGTTACATATCGGTTATTAGTCAATAATCATGATTATTTTATTTTATTGTATTAGTCAGTATTGGATATTTAATTTTGTGTGCTCATTTCCTTTAATTTTACATTTAGATTACATTTCCCGTCATCAATTCGCCTTCATCTTAAAACATTGATTTATTGTTCACTGAATATCCATGAATGCTTAAATATTCATTTTCATACTATACATTATATTATGATGCCTAAATTCACTTGCAATGTGTAAAAGCAAATTATTTCATTTGTTTTATTTCTTTCAACAAAACAAAACAAAAAAAAAAGTATAATTTTAATATCTGCCACAATCTTTGTCTTGGCCAGAATTTGAATACCGCATATTCCTAAAAACACAGAAATATAGCCCAACTCATACCTCAGGTAATTTGCTGCCAGGAATGCTGGGGAAGTCATGGTGCTCCATATGGTATCCTACATTGAAGGTTATTAAGTTGAGAGGGCCATAATAAGAGTAGGTTTCATGACCTTTCATAAACATGTAGTGCTCAGCGATGAAGTGTCCAGAGATGGGATGAAGGCCCATACACAGTATAGAGCCAGCGATGAGGTAGACTATGGGCTTGAGACCCCAAAAATAATAGATGATAATGTCTACCACAAACTGCACGACCGCATTCAGCATCTCCAACCTTGTCACAGGCTTAGGGTTCACCACCAACGGACGGATCGCATAGAACAAAGGCTGGAGAAAGAGCCAGAGCACCTTTCTGGCTGGGGTGCAAAAGAACCAGCCCTCAAGGTCGGTAGGAATATCTACGTCCAATCCATCTCCTCCGAGATAACGATGGTGGTCGATGTGGTATTTCTTGAAGGATGCTGAATAAGGCAAGCCAATCGGGAGATTGGCGAACATGGCGAACCAGCGGTTCCAGCGTGCCCTTTTAGTGCCAAAGGCCACATTGTGTGAAATGTCATGGATGGCTAGGGTCAAAGAGTGGTTGATGCAGCCACCGAACGCATATGCCCAAAACAACACCCATTTCCAGGAGACCTCATGGACCATGTAACACGCCAGGAGCTGGGTGAGTACCATCCCTGACACGACCCACTTCAGCTGGGGATCATGACCCATCAAAGACTTGATTTCAGGATACTTTGCTGAAGAGAGAGAACAATGTTAAAAACATGAGATGATATCTTTGAATAGTAATTACATTTAAAAATATATATGTACACATACAGGTTTTAAGATTTTAATGTTTTTGAAAAAAAGTATCTTATGCTCACCAAAACATCAAAAATGATCAAAAATAAAAGAATATTGTGAAATATTACAACTTAAAATAACTTTTCTATTTAAATATATTTTAAAATGTAATTTATTCCTGTGATGCAAAGTACTTATAAGCTCAGCGGCATTGCAACTATAAGAGCAATTCGCACAAGCATTAGACTACTGCAAACACACTGTAAAGGACAGCGGTCTCGCCTGCATCCTGGATTAACCATACACTCACTGCCAGCATTCATGTCGGTGCTTGTCTCCAGACTGCATTAACAGCAGCCATTCAGCACCGCAGACTCATGGATAGGTGACGGCACTATCACCTAGTAATGTTTACCCCGGGATATGTGACATCCACAGTGTGAGCACTGCACCATCACAGGGTGCTGGTGGCCAAATAATGCATGCGGCAGCAAAACAGACACTATTACATAATGTTGCAACTGGTGGCAAGCCTGACCATGCTGTGCAGTTAATGGTGGCGATCGTGCCAACACCTGTACTTATGTCCACTGCAGCGGCAATGAGTGAGAGCAGAGCAAAGCAAAGCACTCTACCAAAGCCGCAGCCATCAGCCTGAGTGCTTCCTGAGAACTCTTAAAGGCAGAAACTTCTCTGCTCGAAATGAATGGAAGTATAAGTTACAAACTGTGAGCAGCCCTGTGAAATGCGAGCTCGCATCACAACAAAGCCCAGTCACATTCTTTGGATGGTTCAAACATTCCATGAATGTACACATTCGAGGAAAACTGGACTAATGAAATGCAGAATTATGCAGACTAATTGACATGCAACAAGCTTATTGGTGCATACAACATTAAACCAGCTCTTACGAGTGACAATATATTCACTGCGTCCAGCATAAATTTGTTTCGAGAAGAACCAAGATCATAAGTACAAAATCAGGGCAGATTGCTACAGCTGTAGTGCCTGAATCAGGGGTGTTCTTAGGGGGGTGCAACAGGTGCGGTCGCACCGGGACCCGCGCTTGAGGGGGCCCCACGACGAATGGACAGAGGGGGGCCCCGCGCCCTACCTCGCACCAGGTCCTGCGTCAGCCAAGGACAGCCCTGTCCTGAATACTACTGAAATAATAGAACACAGAAAGCTGCGGCATGAATGCTCATCAGTTTTGCATATGCAGTAGCTATTAGTGCTAGCAATGGCACTGCATATCGGCCTATACGACCTAGTTGAAACACGTGCCAGAGAGGGGCATGGCCACAAATATCAAAGAGCATGTCACGCCTCTGTACAATCCGACATGGGCAGAAGCACTTAACTTTATGCTTTTATTTGGAACTTTATCTTACCTGAAGAAAGAGAATAGCCTACTTCACACCCACATGAGAAAGCCGGAGTTCAACACAGAAGGCAGTGGAAGGAAGTGGCCGAAGCATTTTATATAGCACAGACCGCCGCTTTGAGATGAGGGGCTGCTTATATCGCATGAGCGTGTGAGTGGCTAACGCTTTGTACTCAATACATGACCAGTCACCGCTCTGAGGCGGGGAGCTGCATGAGAGTGAGCGAGTGGCCGAAGCTCAATGCTTTACGGAAGGCAGACCGCCGTTCTGAGGTGGGGGGCTGCTTACTGCTTCGAGTGAGTGAGCAATCAAAGCGCTTCCTCCTCTGTGCACAGCAGGTCACAGCAATGAGATCTGCGCACGGCAAACCGCTGCTCTGAGGCAGTGGGGTAGCCTACTTATGTTGGGTGAGTGCCGGTGTCGTGCCGAAAACTTATTGTCGTCCGTTTTACACTTGCCAAAAAGTGAATACAGACTCTCTACTTATTGAGTGAACTGTTCATTCTGCATCAGAATGACTTGATTTCATTAATTGGAGTTATATTTGATAGATTATTGTTCATTCAGTCCTTTTTACCTGTAATACTTTGACAACAACCATGAATGAAATCAAGTCATTTTGAGGCAGAAAGAACAGTTCACTTTTTGGCAAATGTAAAACTGCATTTTATAGGTTTTATTGGCCATTTAAAAGGTATTTCAACGGGTAAAAAGGACTGAATGAGCTAGAATCTATCAAATATAACAATGAATGAAATCAAGTCATTCTGAGGCAGAAAGAAGAGTTCCCTCAATAAGTAGTGTCTGTAGGCTAATCAGTTTTTGGCAAGTGTAAAACGGACGCGGACGGCAATCAGTTTTCGGCAGACGATCAATTTTCGGCACGGCACCGGCAAGGCGCAGGCGGCAACTTTGCTTCTGTACACAGCAGACTGCTGCCCTGAGGCGGGGGGGCTTGCTTATTACTGTGCTCTTGAGTGAGCGACTGGATGTTTTTCCATGCCCGGAGAGGGTTGGGTGAGACGAATGCGGACGCTTAGTCGGCATGAACTCATCACCGGAGTCCATGGTCCACCTGTTATTGATGACAGACGGACTCACGCAGCGCTGCTTCTAAGTGGGCATCGCCCAGGCAGAAACACAGCGGTCCGGAAGGCATCTGAAAGAAATGTCATACTTACTGGAACGCTGCAGGGGAGCGGCAATCCAGGCATCATCCCCCAGATGAGCATACCTCAACGGTGAGCTGTAGCCTAGATGGCTTCTTGTCAGTAGGGGTTCAATCTTCAACTGGCTGGCAGGAGCCGCCACTGACAGGTCACGTGACATGCCAGTGGTTGGTGGCAGCTGCCAGTGCCAAAAAACGTGACCTGTCAGTGGTTGGTGGCAGCTGCCAGTGGCAGGTCACGTGACCTGTCAGTGGCTGGCTGGCAGTATGCCTTAACAAGATCCACTGGCGGATCAGTCAGACAGCCGCCAGAGCGCTCCGAGTTTAACGCGTTCTCTACCACTCTCTCTACAAGGAAATATATTATTTTATGATTATTAATATATTCTTATGGGTCTAGTCTTTTAATTTGTCGACATTTTATAGAGGCTTATTACAAATAAGGTGCCCAAATGGCCGTGATCTGAGGCAATGGTTGTTAGCGCCACCTATTTTGTACGCTTGAACGCCATTGGCAGGCAAATGATCACCCGTGAGATTTCATAAGGCTTCAATAGATTCGAGGAAGGAGGAGATAACCCAAAGTGACATCTTCGATGACGCAGTGTTGAGACCGACTCGAGAGGGAACTTAAAATATATGGCAACAGAAAACAATTATTTTAAATTGTAATAATATTTCACAATAACTGTTTTTACTGTATTTGATCAAATTGGTGAGCATAAAATAACTCAATTATTCCAAACTTTTGGTGACCAGTACACACATTTATATGCATACATGTATGCATTTATGTGCATATAAATAAAAAAAAATCTGAATATTATCATCTGAAAGAGATGACCAAAGGGCCATAAAATACAGCTTTGAATGAAATAGTTTTATTATATGAGAAGCATGAAAGACCACAAAGTGATATGAGAGACATAAAACTACAAGCGTCTCACTACACATAAACAATTACAGTATATACAGTATTGTGCATTCTGCAGTAGCGCAATCATCCTTTAAACCATTATGCTAAAACTGCTGCTTGAGTTCTTGAAATTAGTATCTTGTAATAGAGATGATCATATATCTTTATTGAAGTCTTTTTTATGTTCAAGTATTTGTCAAAGACAGACTGTACTTGAAATTAAGCCTTCACATCCCAATTAAATTACAAAAATTATTAAAGATTATTACTTGCTGTTGCTATAGTGGTAACCTATTAAACATGCTAAGGCACTATGTTGCTTAGGTAGTCAACCACTTACTAATTCTCCACAAGGGACAGACACTCCCCCTGATGGTGTGCCTTTTTAATTAGATTTGTTTGCCCAGCTAATGTTCTGTTTACTCATCATCATTCACCGCTGCAGAATCCCTTTATACAAGTTCCACAAAGCTCTTTCTCACAGTGCTCACTTTCACCTATACAATTACAGGTGACCTGCACGCAAAAATCTGCCATAAGACTTTTTCATGCAATTTGTATAATGTCTGTTTGCAAATTGTTTATATTGCCACATTTTCTACTGGTTTATGCTTAAGTGTATGGTTACATGTGTATCATATATATATATATATATATATTTTTTATTTTTTATTTTTTCATCTAGGGCTATTCACAGTAGGGAAAGTGAAATGGGCACCTCAGCCATTATTGAACAAGGAAATGCTCCTGGTTCAGTTCCATATGTCAAATTATCTGTGTATTTGTTTTCCCTTTACATTTTACATATCAGTCAAACAAATAGCCCTCACAAAACAAGCACAGCTGTGGCTGCCGGCAACACTATAGGGCAGGGTTCCTCAAATCTTGCTCTGGAGGGCCAATGCGCTGCAGAGTTTAGCTCCAACCCTGATCATCTCACCTACCTGTGATTTTCTAATGATCCTGAAGACATTGATTAGCATGCTCAGGTGTGTTTGATTAGGGTTAGAGCTAAACTCTGCAGTAAAGTGGATCTCGTGGGCCAGATTTGAGGATCCCTGCTATAGGGCTTCAAATGCGGTGATGTTCTTGTACACATGTAGGTGGAGATTCTTGGATGCGCCTTTTCCTGCCCCTTGAGCCTCATCTACTCTGAACAAGATCACACCTGTCATGGCTTAATGTCACGGAAACACACAAACAGGTTTATTTGAAACAAAGTGTTTGCGTTTCAGCTTCTGAAAATCACATTTAAGCCTAAAATAATACAACATGCATGCAGTGTTTCTGAACACTGGACAAGTTCACCTGTGTAATGAGTAACCAAATGTCATAAAGTGTGTAAATAAAATTACCACAAACTCCCAAACTCCAGTCAGATGGCAGTACAACCTAAAGTGATGCTTTGGGTTGTACTAAAAAACAAAAACAATCCTATATTGGTCTATGATGACATTTTTATTTTTTGGAATGCAATGACACCATTCAATTTAACACCAGGTTTTCAGCATTACTTATAAAAGATTTTGTATATAATGTTATGTTTTGTATATAATATTATAAACTTTTTTATATATTTTATATATTTTACTTAATATAAAATAATTTATAGAAACTATCATCAACTTTAAATATACAATACAACAGTTTGTAAATAATACTGGCACCCTAATCCTTTCTGCAATAGTCTGAAGACGATAAAAGAATACATTATTAATATTTAACCCTTGTGTTGTGTTCAGAACCCTATCACACTTACGAGGTTACAGAGCAAAAAGGACCCGAACACCACATGAGGGTTAAAAAGCTTGAGGTGTAAAACTACCCATGCAACCTCACAATATCATATCAAAAGGTGTTTTTCAGGGTCTATTGATGGAGAATTACAGTAACAACTCTTGAAATCCTCCAGCAACAAAATTTCCTGAAGTCCTTCAAAAGCTGTGACTCTGCTTGCGAAGCACCACTTCTCAAACAGTACCTGCTTTACTCTTGCAAACTCTGAAAGTTTGGCTAGGCAGCTTTGAACACAGCCTAAACTTTTGCCTGTATGCTTCAGGAACCAATTCATATGCACGGAGCACCGCAGATTTAACAGCGTTATAATCTAATGAACTCTCAACTGGCAACGCCGCACACGTCTCTTCAGCTTTGCCAGCAATATTGCTCTGTACCAAAAGAGACCACAAATCCCTTGGCCAGTTCAATTTTGTGGCAATACACTTGAATGCAATAAAATACGCATCCACTTCACCTTCACGAAAGGGAGGGGCCAATTTTACGTACCTACTCACATCAAAATCTGTCTCTGTCGGCACAGAAACACTGGAAGAGGGAGGACGAGACCTATAGGCAATGGAACCGCCCTACTATGAAGAGTCTGAGCTTCGAGATCCAACTTTCGAAGCTTAATATCTTCGTCCGCCTCAATTTCCAGAGCTTTCAACTTTAACAGCTGAGTTTCATGCTCCTGCTTCTTAAGCTTGAGATCCAATTATTTTAAACGAAGCACAATCAAAGTAGGCTATATCAGAACTCAAATTGCCTCCTTTACTATGAAAGGAAATAGACTCTTCCGACGCAGCTTCCCCGCCAACGTTAGAATCTACTGGCAAAATACCTGCTTGGACAAGCTTTCGGTACAACATCTTTGATGCCTTGTTTCTTTGCCTCCTTGTTGACAGGAATATTAAAAAACTCTGCAATCACAATCAGATCTTTTTTTTCTACACCTGTCAAACTCTTCCACTGTCGGAGACAAAGAAAACTTGACCAAATCAAATTCCATAATTCAATTATAACATACACGCTTCCTCACCCGCACAAGTTCGAAGCTGCCAAGAAACTTATGATAACTATGACAACAAAAGCCAGGTTATCAAACAAAGAACCAAACTACTATGTTCCACGAAATGATTAAACGAATGGACGAGCCCCCAATTTGTTACATCCTGCATGAATCTAGGGGTATAAGCGGACGCAACAAAACAACAAATAATTTAAAGAGCGCTAGTCTGAGTCCTGCTCAGCACCACAAGCAACAAGTTACCATAAAGGTTTTTATTTGACAGCTCATGGAACAAATACAAAAGGTATATTAAAAAATAGGAAGTAGTAAAAAGGGAAGCAATAGTTTCAGGAGAGGGCAAGGCCAAAATAACAAACAAAAAACAAACTAGATAATTTAATCCTCTAACTAATCTAACAAAGAAAAGAAAAATAACAACAGGTTTGTATCCTAACTCCCTTCCTGGCCACAAAACAGGAGAAAACAGGGTTCAAGAAAAATGGCACCCACCTCCCTAGAACTCCCAAATAAACCAAACAATAATAAACAAGTTTGTAGACAATAGCAACAGGCTGGGCTCTTGGGGGAACGTTTTCTCCAACTTTGGTAGTTGCTGCTCTGCTTTTATGCTGGCGCACTCTTAACTGGTAAGCGTAGCTGGGGGCAATCAGCTACCTGCCAGACAGATTGAGTAGGAGGAGCCAAAGGGTTAACAGAGAAAGAAACACAGGGAAAAAAACACAGCTTTTCTGATAAATCATAACAATAAAGACTGCGTCTCTAGACGTAACAAGGGGCAGTTCTTACAGTTCAATGTGATCTGTCAAAAGAGTGCCAGCTTTTTAGTTCCTTATTTCTATACACAAAATAATAAGAAAAAAACACTCTGGCCTTCCATCTTGTGATATGCTGAAATCTCCAAGCTGCTCATAAATGTGTTTTATGAGGAATTGAGCTTGTGACATGATATCTTCACAGTTATGGCCGTAAGACTAGAATGTTGTTACCAAGCAAGACTCACTGCTATTGTGCCAATAATGCATGGAATCAGTTTACACAAATGATCACCTCCTGCAGCCATTGTCTGATAGATGTGAGGCAGGTAAAACATCTGATTCACCGGTCTACACTCGTTATTAGCCTAACTATATTAGACTAAACCTATGGAAAAGTAAGGGAGAGCAGGGCACAAAGTAACACTTTTTGACTTTCTCAAATTGTGTAAATCCACATGGGGTTCAGGGTATAATTTTATAATCCACGGTAATTTCACACTTGTCTAGTACAAATGTCGATTTGTTTCATAATTACAGTGTATAGGTTTTTCTTTATTTACCCTCAAAAACTAGAAGTGAAATGTGACAACATGCCCCGTAGGTGGGGTACATTGTAACATCTGAGGGGCACGTTGTAACATGACCATATAACAGCTTAAAATGTTATCTGATCGAATGAAAAAAGTATACAAGACAAACTAAAATATTTAGTCAATAAAATTAATTATTTCAAATAAAATAATGGCGTTTTTTAAGAACTAAAAATAATCTGATTTTGGAGTTTGACAATGAACACATTGCAACCATGCTTGGGACGGCCCACATAAACGAGCCAAATTGCTTTACATGTCTTGAAATAATAATTTCTTAACATTAAACATTGACTGTCAGTCTTTATTCACCCGTTTCTCGTCGTTTATCATTAAAATGTTTTAAAGTAGATGGTGTGAATTACATCGCTAATGTCATCGAATAGTCTTACTGTCTCCTGATTTAAAATTATTTCAACTGATAAATAACAGATTGGAGATGAAAATAATAGCAGATTTGTCTCATTTTAAATGAGTAATAAAAACTGAGATCAAAAATTGACTTAAGCCAGAAATATAATTTTACTATGGTAAAATAAATGTTCAGCGATATCTTCAAAAAACTTTTGAATTTTGGCGCACTTTTTTTCTCCATATAATGTTGATATAGTAACTAGTAAATGCTGTAAATTTGGTTATGCCAGCATGTGTGGAAATATATAATCCACGCGTGTTACAATTTACCCCGCGTTACTTTGTGTCCCGCGCTGCCCTACGCTTGATCTCGATCACAAGCAGGATGAGGGGAGTTCATATTTAGTATGTATAACACACGATTACAGAGTATGTAAAAAAAAAAAAAAAAAAAACGCATCCTCTTCACACTTACAAGCACACACATACGTACGCACACACGCTCATCGGCACGCGCACACTCTTCCAGAGAAAGTTGTCAGGGGGAGAGCGGGGCACAAAGTAACACTTTTTGACTTTTTCAAATTGTGTAAATCCACATGGGGTTCAGAGTATAATTTTTTTTATCCACAGTAATTTCACATTCGTCTAGTACAAATATGTCGCTTTGTTTCATAATTACAGTGTATACATTTTTCTTTATTTACCCTCAAAAATTGGAAGTGAAATGTGACAACATGCCCCATAGGTGGGGCACATTGTAACAGCCGAGGGGCACGTTGTAACATGACCATATGACAGCTTAAAATGTTATCTGATCGCATGAAAAAAATATACAAGACAAACTAAAATATTTTGTCAACAAAATAAAATAATTATTTATTTCAAATAAAATAATGGCGTTTTTTAAGAATTAAAAATAATCTGATTTTGGAGTTTGACAATGAACACATTGCAACCATGCTTGGGACGGCCCACATAAACTAGCCAAAATGCTTTACATGTCTTGAAACAATAATTTCTTAACATTAAACATTGACTGTCAGTCTTTATTCACCTGTTTCTCGTCGTTTATCATTAAAATGTATTAAAGTAAATAGTGTGAATTACATCGCTAATGTCATAGAATAGCACAGCAGGGCACATTGTAACACAGTGTTACAACATGCCCCATCTGCGCAACTGGAATTTAAAACCGGTTACCGTCTTCTGATAGTTAGCGAAGCATTAAAAAATAATTTAAACTGATAAATAACAGATTGGAGATTAAAATAATAGCATATTTGTCTAATTTTAAATGAGTAATAAAAACTGAGATGAAAAATTTACTTTAGCCAGAAATATAATTTTACTATGGTAAAATAAATGTTCAGCGATATCTTCAAAAAACTTTTGCATTTTGGTGCATTTTTTTTCTCTATATAATGTTGATATAGTAACTAGTAAATGCTGTAAATTTGGTTATGCTAGCATGTGTGGAAATATTTAAACCACCTGTGTTACAACTTACCCCGCGTTACTTTGTGCCCCGCGCTCCCCTAATGTATACGCCTATATGTAGCCTAGTAAGAATCTATATTGAATAACCTTTTTTGAATTTTAAATTAGTTCGGTAAGATATGCACTGATGAAATGTAATCTTAATTGTCCGAATACCTTTATAATCAGAGTTATGCCGTGACATCAGGCACTGGTAATGAGATAAAGTGCTTCTTGCACACAGCCGAGTTATATATATCTTTACCAACACAAAATAAACACCCAGAAAACAAAATCTACACGCTCCCAATTGCTTAAATGGATATTTAAATTCAATTCAAGTCAGTCGGCTAACCGAAATCATATCACGTCTATATTAAGTTCTAGCGAATTCTGCTGACGTACAAGTGTCTTTCTGTTGTTTCATTTAAACGTACCTAATATTTCTTTTCTTCTCCATGTGTGCGGTTGCTCATTATAGACCCACTCAAAGTCCCAGCGTCCAGCTGCTTTGCCCATTTTGACACCTGTGCGCTGCTGGTGTGATGAGCTCAGGTGATTCCTCGCTTAGGCTACTAGACTCGTTTCGGACACGCCCTCTTAGATAAGAGCAGCAGAAGGTGTGCCTGAGAGGGAGTCTATGCCAACGGTAACTAACTTCAACCGAAACCCTAACGAAGTAACGAGATCAAGTTGGTCAGAGAGCAGCCTAGCCCACAGTCTTTCTCGTCCCACTAAGAAAACGGCACCTTGCCTCAGATAACCGTTGACTGTGAAATGTTTGTTAATGATTTTTGAATTTTTACAGTAAAGACTTATTTAAGTTTTATTTATTTATTTTTTCCCAATAATTTACTTCGTTTTCAGTGTCACATTCCAGTAATTCTGGTCTAGACAGGTTTGCGTCGCCTTACCGCGAGAGGGCGTATTTTATTGTACAGTTATGATCCGTGTCGTGTGATTTAATGTATAGAATAGCCTCCTGGGACCCAGGCATAGACTTCTGTCCTCTGTAGAGAACATTATATTTTAGTGAATTTCTCTGAGACCACACATGCCACTGTTTTAAGTCTGGATGTCCTGTACAGAGCACATTCAGGGCTTTTTAGAGATATCAAATGTGGAGATTTGATCATAAACACTCTCTCCTTGCTCTTTAAATATGACTGATATTGACAGAATGATCCAATTTTGCACTCTTAGGGAAATATGATTAGTGTTTTGTAATTCTCATTTAAATCTGGCTAATTTTCAAATTGTTTGTTGTAAAAGAAAAAAACAGAAAAATGTTATGGGGTTTCAAATCGGAATATGACTGTTTGTTACAAAACAGGGCATAATTTTCATACATGTCTTCTGTAGAGGACACCAGGACAAACACCATGTTAATCAGACATTTTGGGGAGACACGACAAGTCAATCAAGAAAGAAATTATAGGTCAACATTACTACGAAATATGAGATATTCTTATGAAAATGTTGCCAAGTTATTACTCCCATTACTACACTTCTTTTTTTCATTATGGTTTGCCCCAAGAACACATTCATATGCAAATTAGATGCAATGTATACAAACATTGTATAGAATGGGAATACCAATTTATGGACATTTAAGTACAGTAGTATATCAAATCATCTTTCATAACATATATATATACATAGTATATATATATATATATATATATACACTTTTTTTTAAATAACTTAGTCCTCACGTCCTCTATTAGAAAATAGAATAAAATATTAATAAAAAATATATATTTTTAAATGTTTTTCTCCATTTGTTTCTAAGCTCCATCCAATGTAATGACATAAAAAAAATTCACAAAACTTTTTTTTTCTGGTTCTCAGGAGGATATAATGCCTAATGAGATAAATGAAAATAAAAAAAGCGAAAAAGAGATACACACATAAATAATAAATAACATTTTATAACTGGTTAAATAATTTAAGCAAACAGACATAAAATCATTATGTCACAAATGCCAGAGTATAAAACAAACAGAAAACAGAAAAATTGTGCCATTTCACCATTTTATTTATTAATGCATTCATTTATTTATTAGTAGCTAACCTAATAACATCACGTTATAATCACATTTTTGCGTTTACAGTGCACATACAAAACATTACAGCATTGTTTAAAGATATGCATTAACAGAAAATACAATGAAGTATGTGTGGAACAGGCCTAAGGAACGTATACAGTATCACTTCCACCTAGTTGTAAAACTATAGTTTCCTCTAAAAAACCAGATGGTGGATCAGCACCTAGAGAGACAACCTCTACAGCCCTGAATGACCACCGGAGAACTAAAGCGGTGCGAAAGGGCCTCATGTCAACTAGATGCGCCCTAAAGACAGATCCCCTGCGAAGACCTTGTCACCTTGTGACCATCGGCACAAGACCACGAGAAACAGACAAGTCCTCTGCACAATCTGACCTGTGTTGCAGCCTGGAATTAAACCACACCATGCTGGTTTCTCCCAAGGTTTTTTCTCCATTTCTGTCACTGATGGAGTTTTGGTTCCTTGTCACTGTCACCTTTAGCTCGCTTATTTGGGGATGCTTGACTGATTGCACAGACATATTGTAAGAGAGCTGAACTGGATGATGACATCACTGAACTGACTTTAGCTGGAAAAATGAGTCTTAATTGTCCTCTTGCATTATTGACAACCTATTTTCCTGTTTGACACTGTAAAGCTGCTTTGACACAATCTGTATTGTTTAAAGCGCTATATAAATAAAGGTGACTTGACTAAAAATCCTCTTTATGTCCATTCAAAACATATTTGCTTATTAACATTTAAATTAACAAAACATTTTCCTTGTTATTACTACATAGGCCTACATGAGTAACCAATATAACTTGATGGATAAATCATATAGATTACTCCATATTCAAAATTAATTATTACATATTTCCTTATTTCAAATTCATATGAAATGTTGCTATTGATATACAGTTTATCAGCTACTGTCAGTGAAGATAAAAACTCGTTGGTGGATAATTTACAAAAGTTTAATGGTGAGAATGAGGTCAAACGTAGACCAAGATCTCGCGAGATTTCGCATGTCTGATGCTCAGGCAGAGTCCGTGAACGGAGTCAGTCAATGTGGGACGGAGTTTTGCCTGTTTGTTAGTGGAGTAGGAGGGAGAACGAGCCGTTGACTTGACACAGGGTTTGCTTGAAAACAGGTCGGAGAGCAAGAAAGCCAAGAATGGCGTCGGGTGAGACACTGTACATTGAAACCGACGGCTCGGAGATGCCGACAGAGATCGTCGAGCTGCACGAAATCGAAGTTGAGACCATCGAGACGACAGTGGTCGGCGGAGACGACGACGAGCACCAGCCGATGATCGCGCTGCAGCCGCTGGTCACAGACGATCCGATCCACGTTAACCATCAGGAGGTGATTCTGGTCCAAACTCGCGAGGAGGTCGTGGGCTGCGATGATTCAGACCTCCACGCAGACGACAGCTTCGAGGACCAGATCCTCATTCCCGTCCCTGTTCCTGTGGCAGAGGAGGAATATATCGAGCAGACTTTAGTGACCGTGTCTGGCAAGAACCCGTCGGGTAGGATGAAGAAAGGGGGAGGCAGCGGGAAAAGAGTGGTCAAAAAGAGCTTCCTAAACTCCGCCGAGGCGAGCGGACGCAAATGGGAGCAGAAGCAAGTGCAGATCAAAACACTGGAGGGGGAGTTTTCCGTCACTATGTGGGCATCGGGTAAGTTTTGACATCGCATCAAGTGCTTTGTTCTCGCGCAGGCCTCGCGTGGGCCCTCTTCCTCTCGAGCTCGTTATAAAGCTGCCGGATAGCCCAGTGTCAGAAACGATTTTCGGATCCGAAAAGCCACGTAGGAGGATGGCCCCGGTCTAAATGTTTTTGTTTTGATGGGAAGCCATGTTTTAAGTGTGGATGGGCGCCGCCATATTCCTCCAGACCATTATGGCGGCGGCCCCGAAACATGGCGGTTCTGTGAGCGGGGAAAGATGGCGGCGGGAGCGGGGAGCGGAGAGAGGCGCTGTGAGTCCGCCGCGCTGCTGCAGGCCGCAATGGCGCAGCTCAGTTTGGAGAAGGGGAGGGACCTAGTCACACGAGCTGCTGCTTGCCTGCAAACCGTGTCTCACGGCGCTTCAATCCCTCGATTAACAAATGTTACCGCGTATTTAAATCTTGTAACTGAGGAATTCAGATACATCTCTAGGAGATGACTGTGCCGCGGGGCGATATTTCTCAGTTACCAGACGAATGCATTTTACGCAGGGATTCTATTAATGCTTAACATATTACATATTTTTATACCAATACATATGCAGATGTTTACAGTGGAAAGCGGTTTTTGGTCAAATACAGAAATATTTATTGTAGCTTTTGCGGTTTTGAAATGTCGGTGTGCAAAAAAGGGCGGTGTGAACTCATAAAAAGATGTTAATTCACTTTGAACCTGGAATTTTTTTATACAGTTTGTAGTTGTCATTTTAGGTAACGTTAAATATTACAAGGGGGCTGAATGTTTTAAATGCTGAAACGTATACAGATGTTTAAACTACGCCACAGTCCACAGCGCTACTGGATGCTGTATTATACATCATGTTATTTTTGTAGCTATGGTTATTGTGCATTAGCAATATATTTTTTAAATTCCCCACTTTCATTGGAGAGAGTTTGGCCTGTAACGACCAAAATGTTTGCCATTTCTTGAATATAAAAATAAAGTACGTGAACGTGGAGCCCAGGTTGAAGTCTCGTTTAAATACGCCGTAAACCCCCACAGACTGCGCATGCGTCTCAGAGGCGGTCATCACGGGTTTGTGTTTTTGTTTTTTTGGGACGCGCACATACTGCTGCACAAGGGGGAAAAAAAGCTTTACGCCAGACGGTTTTTTTTCTTTTTCTTTTTTTTTTACTAATTGCTTATCTGAGACAATAGATACAATTGTTTTATTCTGAAGATGAATCACTCATGACTAGGGTGTTGCTTCATCAGTCGTCAGTTCATTTAGTTTTTGTTTGCTTTATTTGTCCTTAAAGCGTTTAGCTGTTTGTGAATACAGTGTGTGTGTGATTTGATTAAGTACGTTGTTAAACATTGAATCTTGTGTTTTGTACAGATGATAAGAAAGATGTTGATCATGAGACTGAGGTGGAGGAGCAGATTATTGGGGAAAACTCTCCTCCTGACTATTCTGAGTATATGACAGGCAAGAAACTGCCCCCTGGAGGCATACCTGGTATTGACCTGTCAGACCCCAAACAGCTGGCGGAGTTTGCAAGGTGAGTATTTGGCCAAAAGCTTGAAACTTTCTTACAAGCATTTATTGATTTCTTTGGGGTAGAGTTTTATAGTAGGCCCTAAGCATGAGATTAAATGCACATTTTCAACTCCACTGGGCCCAGAAAATAATGATCTCCAGTTTGTTGAGTTGTTTTGCATATATATTTATTTATTATTATTGTTTTTGTGCAGTATATTTGGAAAAACAACAGGAAAAAAAATGGTACCACCATTTTAATTTCCAAAGCCAGTTAATGCCCATTTAAGATGAAATTATTTTTTAGAAACACAGGTCGTTTGAAAGATTTTAATTATGGCCAACTCGTGGAGTCACATGTATATAGATGGTTTACAAGTCAGTCATTTAGCATTTTTTAGTATTCAAAAGCAATGAATTTGATTTGCTTCATGTATTTGTCATTATTGAACTCCTAGAATAAGCAGCATGCACACAAATGTCTTATCCTGAATGTTTTTCACAAAACAGAATGAAGCCTAGAAAAATAAAGGAAGACGACTCTCCAAGGACGATAGCATGTCCTCACAAAGTGAGTGACTGTTTTTTAATCGTTCATGATAATTATGTAAAATTTCTGTATTAGAAGTGCTGATTTAGGATATTGTTTGTCTACAAAGATTCACAAATGAATCCAGTCATCTACATTTTTTTATTTAATTTATCAGGATTTTTAACATTTTAGTTGTGTGTTATCATAGGGTTGCACAAAAATGTTTCGGGACAACTCCGCTATGAGAAAGCACTTGCACACCCATGGGCCACGGGTTCATGTCTGTGCTGAATGTGGGAAGGCGTTTGTGGAAAGTTCCAAGCTAAAACGGCATCAGTTGGTTCATACTGGTGAAAAACCTTTCCAGGTAATCTTTTTGTTCCTTTGTATTAATGTTATTATTCGTATATTATTATAAAACTAGAATATGTTAAATATAAATGATATATGTGCTTTTTTTTACTGTTTCCTCCACAGTGTACATTTGAGGGATGTGGAAAGCGCTTTTCATTGGACTTTAACTTGCGCACACACGTGCGGATTCACACTGGAGACAGACCTTACGTTTGCCCGTTCGATGGCTGTAACAAGAAATTCGCTCAGTCCACCAACCTGAAGTCTCACATTTTGACGCACGCGAAAGCTAAAAACAATCAGTGAGATCGCTCGCTGAGGAAAGTTCCCTTAAAGACTCTGTCTGACAGCTTCCTGCTCCAAAACCCACTTTGTATGTCGTTTCTAGAACCATTCTTTTCTATGAGAATCTCAGCGCACATTTTCATGGGAATTGAAATATGAATGAGGACCTGACACCAAACTTATCCCAACAACCTTCTCACGGTATAGACCTGAGTTAAATAACTTCCCGAGTTATGAGAGTTTCTTCTTTTGAAGATATAATTGATTTTGTGGATCCTCATTCACATACAAGATGCTCATTATCCTGAGCCCAAAGAAGCAAATTGCCCATCGGTGTGTCTGTACCAGTTTGCAAAGACTGCTTTTTAGATGTCTTCAAAGTGTGCATATTGTACACTTTTTAGAGCGTAGAGCTGTCATAATATGTGTGAGTGTGCATGTGTGTGTGTGTGTGTCGTCCCTGAGACTTAAAACCTGTGAATGCTTTTCTTCAAGGAGAATGAGATGCCGTTCAGCTTTTTTTCAATGTAAATATAGCTTTTCTTTGTGAGGTATCCTGTGCAGGTATCTCATTTTGTATACCTGTCCTGTACAAATGTTTTGAAATCATGTAGATAATAGAGATGTTGATTAGATTGTTTAACCAATTAAATCGGTTTTATTCAGCTTCAGGATGCACTGCTACATACACATGCCTTCTTTTGTAACACAATAACAGTCTACTCAGTATGTGAAAAGACACTTTTCCTTCAAATTCTCTAATTTATTTAAAGATATGGAATAAAGCTAAACTCCCCTGTGCAGTTCCCAAGAGCCTGAAGTTCATCGTGCTGTTCAGTAAGCTGAATGTCCTCCAGCGATTGATTTTAAAAGCAAGGATTCGTGAAACTTAAACCCGTATGATATGGGTCTGGTTAAAGGTAAAATTGTCACAGTCATATTTCCTGTAGTAGACAACATTAACAGACAGCAGTGAGCATAATCTCCAACATAACTTGTAACGTATTACATATAAAGGCTTAAAACGGCAAGTATTGCAATGAGAGCATTTAGTTGCCGTTTAATATGCTATTATAAAAATACTCCAGAAATTGTATTACTTGCAGCTAATAATGTTAACAGCATCCTAACTTAGCATATGCACAATATTCCGTTATAAATTGTAAATTACACGATTCATGCCGTTTAAAAATATTTAAGAGGTCCTATTAAGAGCTTGCTCTTGCTGACACAACCTCATGTATCAAGACTTGCAGTGTTACTAGAAACTGGTTATCCTTGCATAACCCTACATTTATTATATTGAATTTTCATCTCATGTACATCCTATAACGGACTTAAGTTTGCATTTAAATAATGGAAAAAAACAAAGCTTTGTTTGAACTTTTTTTCAATGTATGTTTTGTGAGCCTCTTTAAACTGACCTGATCCATGCATCAATACCACATTCTTATTTGCTATTGTAAATATGTTCTGCCAACTCCAAATTACAGTTCAACAAATTGCAATTCCTTCTCGAAAATGTATATTCTTTTGTATGTTTCTGGATAGTATTAAAAAAGCTACTTCAATCCAACACGAAGCACACAAAGGCATTTATTTCAAAATAAAAACTTTAATTTGTATTTTTCCAAGCAAAAACTTAAACACCAGTCTTCAAAATATTCATGTACCTTTCAAAGGGATCCTGAAGGCAATGCATCTTTCAAAAAAACAAGTTGGACCTGTTGCTCAAACAACATTCAGTGCACCAGACGTCTAGTAGAAAAACATGCTCAGTCTTACCAACGACTTCGTAGTTTCTGAACAACAAATCCATTCAATATTTAATTCCCTGAGGATCTCATCACGAAGTCTGAAATCAACCTATTAAAAATGTCAAAAACAGGCCGTTGGTTTATGTAGCTCAAGTATGCTCAATAATTAGGCTGGTTTCATCACATGCTGCATTTAAACCTTGAAACATCCTAACAATCTATTTTAATTGCGTTTTAAAAGGAGCTGAAATTTATTATTCTGGAATATTGCACTTCATTGAACATGGTCTCTTGAAAAATGAAATATATATATATTTGTATGAAGTAGATAAAATTCATAGATATTTTCTGTCACACCAAAGACACTTAAACATGGTTGTAGCGTACACCTGGAAAACCCTGATCCATTACTCTAACTCTAGGACAAATCAACCTCATCTGAAAGAACTGAAGTCGTATAACCTGTTGGACGGGAGAAGAACTGTAGGGTGGGTTAATCAACTAGTCATTAAAGGTTCAGAAATAACATTATTTTGTGAAAATGATTGACAGCTATGATATCTTGATATGATTATACAATGCATCATCATTTAGATGATTCAGCAAAAAAATTAAAAACCAAAATAAGAGTAAAAAAAAAAGGGTGGACCTTTCTTTTGCAATCTGACTAAGCAGCAGCTCAATCCACAAGAGCTTTAAGAAGAGCAGGATAATTGGGTGTTCCCCATCCCGTTACTGGATCCCATGAAGGGGAGGCACAGAAACCCTTCCCTTCAACTTTATCATCCAGACAACTCAGGTGACATCCCTCTGTTACCTAAGGGTAGGAGGAGAAAACGCTGTTAAATCAATTTGCTAAGAGTATATGGTTACTTGAACAGGGAAACTGAACAGGTTTTAACTGTCACACTTAAGCTTCTAGTTACACAAGCTCAATTTCACACATAGCTGCATTCTGAGATGCGTGTGTGCTGCATGCAGTTGCCACAAGGGACACTACAGCGAGTTTCCATTTACTGCTTTTTATGATCATTTCATATATATAATTCTTTTAGGACAGCATTACAATTTAAAACGGCCTGACATTTTAAATATAGATTTTGTAGATATAATAGTTCTGAACACAGGGAAAAGGTTAAAAGAGTGGCTAATGATTATATATATATAATTCTTTTAGGACAGCATTACAATTTAAAACGGCCTGACATTTTAAATATAGATTTTGTAGATAATAGTTCTGAACACAGGGAAAAGGTTAAAAGAGTGGCTAATGATAAAAATGTTTTTAAACACTTACATCATAAAGACCTTTGCCTTGCAGTTTGTAAAGGCGTGGGTTGATGAATCCTAATGAGGGAAGACCCTTCAGGAAGCGCTGGTCATTTATGAGGGAGAGAATTCCGCCCACAACTGGAGTTGATGCCTTGGAAAAACATTGAGATTGCGAAACCGCAGACTTTACTGGGTAATATATTGTAACCTAATCTGAACTTTATATTGTAAACTAAAATGGAACTTCATATTGTACATTGTTTTTGCATTTTCTTGTGTACAGAACAGTTGAAAATGTTTGGGGTCAGTAATGTTTTTTTATTTCAAAGTTTTTGAAATAAGTCATGCTCCCTAAGATTTACATTTATTTGATCAAAAATACTGTAAAAACAGTAATATTGTGAAATATTACAATTTAATAACATTCGATTTCATTGGAAATAATTATTAATAATGTTGAAAACAGTTTTGCTGCTTATTTTTGTGGAAACTGTGATAGGCAAGTTATAAAAATAGAAAGCATTTGTAACTTTTATATAACTCCTGTATAAATATCTTTACTGTCATTTGAGCAATCTAATGTATCCTTGCGGATTAAAAGTATTAATTTCTTTATTAAAAATTATTTTTTTTTTAAACTGACCCCAAACTTTAGTATTGCACACTTGCACTATACAGTTTCTTCTATTTTGCATTTCTACATCAATTCTAGTATTTTCTATCAAGTACTCAATTATGAATATAACCAACCTGTAATACAAGTGCACTAGCAAACAAAAACCCATTCTTTTTGTATTATTTACTAACCGAAGTTCCAGAGACCCATGGTACAGGTACACGGTTGGTAACAACCCAGTAGTTGTCAGAAAGCGCAGCTAGATCTGGATAGGCTCTTCCAGTGATGTTGAAATATGTCTGAGGAGGTAGAGGCTGAACACTCTTCAGATACGCTTCAACAGCAGCAACCTACAGAGAACAAAACACAACAGCCTTGTTTGTCAGAGTCTTCAGAAATGAGCAAATAGTCAAAGACACTACAATTGAAAACCTGACTGCAGCTACTTTAATAATATGGTGGAATTTCAAGGCCTCTACTTACAAAAGCACAGTGTGCAAAAGATCTGCATGTACGGAAAACCCAGATGACCTACTACATCTGTGAAAATGTGTAGTACACTGCCTAGAATACAAAATCCCACAGTGCAAAAACTTTGTGACGTGGAAAAAGCAGGGATTTTTTTTCTTACTATGATCAATTTCTCAACTCATTTTGCCAATTGATATTAAAAATGCAAATACATTTTATGTCCAAGATGACAACTGTATTTAAACTGCTGCCTTTAACATGCAACATGAGATCATGGGATGAAAATCAAGAGGACATGTGATCTTACAACAGTTTAAAACGGGGAATAGTGCCTATTTCAGCTACTTTAAAAAGTAGGCTATTTAGGAACATTCTTCAGTTTTCATTAAGCAGCAAGATTGCATTTCATTCAAAACACAGCAAAGGATACAGACTCATGGAGCTTTACCTGATAACCTGGCCTTGCAAACACATTACTAAAGCCACCTCCACTGATGTAATCTGTGACCTCGTAGGTAAGTTTGAAGGGGTTCTTGAAAGAGGTCCCCCCCACAGTGGTCACATAGGGACTAGATAGGGAAGAGATTAATTTTACACAACTATTTTTCAATATAGAAGGCATCACTGTTATACAGATTTTTTTTTTAGAGAGCAACATCTACCTGGATGCAGGAAAACTCGGTCTAAAAGTATTTCTTTCCTTGGACAAGTGTCTACAACCTGCTCCACTGTCTCCTGCATTAAAAAACATGAGTGGGTCTTTCTTTGAGATCTTAGACCAAAAAAAAAACTAGTACATGCAACCAGCAGTTAATGAAATTTCTAAATAAAATGCACAAAATAAAAAGCTTTTGTTCCTGCAACATGACTTTCATTATCTTACCAGAAGCAAAGAGCATGGAAATCCCTCTGAGGCCAGCTTTCATGAACTCAGTGTTGATGCGGTTCATATAGGCATCAGAAAGGCTGTCCTCATCATCTCCATAGCTGATAGTGTGGACCCAAGGCACTGCAGACATGTTGCTAAGCAGCACCATCCACTGAAGGAACGGCTCCTGAGACTCATGACGACCTGTAACCAAGACCAAGTCACAAAGTTTGTGATCTTTACAATGCATGAAATAAAAGAACCTATTCGGAAACAGACCCAACTGATACACTAAAATCAGGTCATTTGAGAAGACCAATACTGAATTTGCCAGCAGATATCCTAATAGTTCAGCCAGAAATATAAATTTGCTGAAAATGGACTCACCCCCAGGCCATCCAAGATGTTTGAGATTTTGGAGAAGTTTCACTGGAGGAAGTGTTATTATGGACTCATATTTTGTCCAGAAGCAACAGTTTAAAGGTAAATCGCTTTGATGTATTTGTTTCTTACAGACATGCAGCTTTTCACTTCAAAAGACGTAATTGATGGACTGGAGTTGTGTGGATTACTTGGGGATTATTGTGATGTTTTTATCAGCTGTTTGAACTCATTCTGATGGCACTCAATGCTACATTTGATTAAACGAAGAAAAACTCATCTACATCTTGGATGGCCTGAGGGGGAGTATATTTTCAGCAATTTTTTTTAAGGCAACAGCAAACGTAACGAAGGCAAATTATGTCCATGAATCAGCGTTATTAAGATAAATGTTGTCTTGGCAACTAGCTGAAATAAAATAAGTTTAACCTGATGTACTAAAACTGAAATAAAGATTAATAAAAATAATTTTAAAAACGAATAAAAATGACAACAAAATTACTAAAACTTAACAGAACATATAAAAATAAAAACTAATTCAAAATATTAATAAAATCTATAATAGCATCTCAATGGTACTAAAATAATGCTGCCATGGAGCACATACCTGGATTTGTGAAGACCCATGTAGAAATGTTTGCTCCACTGCTCATGATGTACTCCACATCCAGACTGGCCTCAATGCCGGCTTTCCCACCGCCCTGAGTGCCCACGACCCGCTCTACAGCTGACATGTGTGTGAATCCTCTAGCAAACAGACTCATGAACTCAGCCAAGTCAGCGGGATGGTAGTACTGCTCCAAGAACTAGTTAGTGGAGATATTTGGCACAACCATGAATAACACCTCAGAATTCTGTTCATATGAATAAATTAATGGATTTACCACTGTACACATTTAGTCAGTGAAATCTGCACAGTAAATATGAGAGGGTTACCTGTGCCACTGCCTGACTGTTGTTGGTGGCAGTGCCCACATCTTTTGCTGTGAGGTTGTAGCGACTCCTAATGACTGCGGGGGTGACGCCCAAGTGATAGCCTAATGCTGATTGTCTTGCTCCTTCCCAGCCTTTACTGATATCCTTTCCTTTTGGTGGAAAACGGTGCACACCACCCACTAAAAAGGTAAAAAAAAAAAAAAAAGACTTCACATCATAGTGATTAAGATTTTCTATTAGAGACTTATTTACCTTATTTTATCCTACTTTATTAGGACAAAATAATGCATGTCACTACAAATATTGAACAGAAATACAGAATTGCTGAATGAAAACGATTAAGTCCTTAACCCTGTAATATCAGACATTAGGGATGCACGATATATCGGCCACCATATCGGTATCGGCCAAAATTTTCATATCGGTGCATCCCTATCAGACATATGATCTTTTTTTCTTCTTTGGAAATGGGACTTTCATTGAACCTTTCAACAAAACCTTTAAACTCTTAAATAAATAAAAAAAATAAAAAGTTGCAAAAACGTGTTTTGTATCATTTTTTTTTTAAACATTAGGCTTTTATGGCCCATATAGAAAGGATATGGAGCTTATACTCGAGGAAAAAAATTAATAAAATTTAACTCAGAGGCCAGTAAATCTAAGCAAAACATGCAGAAATTCTGATAGCCCATAATGTAAATCATTGAGAACTTTCTAACTGTACAGCAGACTACTTAAATTACATATAAATATCAGTTGTCCAATAATATGGACAACCTTCCAACAATATGTATTAGTAAGATGACAATTAAATGCTTAGTTTTATGATCAAAGCTCTGTAGTTTTAATTGTAGAGGGCAAATCAAATAATGCAATGCAACATGATGATGATGACTAAGAGAGTTTTAGAATTTTATATATTAAATATGATACAGTAGGCTTATAGGATGGAAGCTGAACTAATGGTTCAGCTGCTCACCAAAGTCTAGATGCTGATGCACATCTTCATGAACCGAGTATAGAGATGTTGACCTCAACAGAGTGTGTGAATCTCTCCTGTAGCGGTGAAATTTAGTGCCAGGGAGCAATGTTTCAGCCACCCTAAGAAGGTCAGATAGAAGATGAGAAACTGATCTGATTTTTGTGATCTATTGATACTAGAAAATTCACTCAAAAACTGTCCTTACTGCACAGGCATGACACATTGAAGGAAGTCCTGCGTTACAACTGTGTGACAGTTTTTGACCCCATGACTCTGGAGCCAATTCTGCATTACTTTCACGGTCAGCTGAGATGGCCGAACAAGAGCAGCTACTTCTTCCAAACTCAGATGCTTCCCTAAAATATAAACAAACAAATAAGAACTCATTTCTTCATTTGATCATTTGGATTATAACAAATGAGAGGCTCAATACCATATTGATGTGAATCTGGGTCTGACACTAATTTCAGTAACTCCTCCATCTGGTTCACATTCTGCTGCTTTAATGCAAATGTAAGTTCCACTTCCTCCAAAGGTCCCACCCTTTCAACCAGAATCCAGTCCTCAGGCACACTAAAACATTGAGAATAACATTTTCCAAGGGCTGATTCTAGTGTAAATGAAATGTGGAAATTACATCAGACGGGACCAATATAGCTTATAATTTGGACTCAATTATTGCTAGACAGAGGCATGCATGGGTCTTACGAAGCATCTTGATCAGCCTCAAGCAGCTCCGCATTGACGAGCCAAATAAAGCTCAGAACAAAAACAGCAATCCTGTAAAAAAAAAAATAAACACTGTCACTTTAAGAGCCCACTTTAATGCAAAATGAATTGTTTTTATGGCCAACGCACAAGAGACTTTTGTCATTTTAACTCCAAAAGTCAACTTAAATAGTTAACATGCTAGAATAGTACACAAGGGAACAGGTTTATGTGAACTCTTTGTCCTGACCATCTGACCTAATGAGGTGAACCGCTGTCTTTGAGATTTACAAACAGCTCTGCAAACGTGATCTTTAAACTATGATTAGCGTAACATAACTGCATAAATGCAAACAACAACATACTCACCGCATTGTTTTCGCGTTCATGTAGCCTGGTATCTTAAAAACAACACCAATGCCTGTGTCCTAATCGGTTTTTATACAGTCTATGGTCCTAACGTACTGATCATGTGATAGTCACGTGACCATCAGCTGGTCTTTTATTTTGATTGAGGAAGTTAATGTGCATGTGTCTGCAAATAAAAACTAGCAAGAAAAGCAGAGAAAGCCTTAGTTTTCATAACGATCTTATATAAGAGGTAACACAGTGCATATAAATTATTATTATTATTCGTATTTTTTTTTAAATTCAAATGCTTGGAACAACAACACAGAAAGGCATTCATTCATAACAGAGATATAGCATAGCCTATATATCAAGACTGAGCTTACACTCAATTTTCATATTGTACTCTATACTACATACCACATAATAAAAGTATGATATAATATAAAATAAACATATTGGAAAGAGAGAGAGAAAGAAAGAGAAAAAAGTAGGGGAGTAGAGGCTTTTACATTATAAATCCGAAATCGTCTAATAAAGAATACAAATACCTTGCTTTGGTACATTTCACCCCTCTTAATGTCTCCAAATATATTACAACCACTTATCATGGAGGAACTTTGAAAAATGTACATTTATGAATGTACAATTTCAGCAAAAGCAACAAATTATTTATTAGGCTACATAAGATATCTTTTTATCCTTAATTAACAAACCAAACGTAACAATTTCCCATGAGAGGATCAGTCTTGCAGGTATTCTTTGTTGCATCCATCTGAATGCATCATTCCAGAATGCATGTACCAATGTTCAACCGTATCTATCTCTAATTTGCATATTTGGCATATATTTGAGTCCCCGACATTAAAACTTATTCTTAAAAATTATTTTGTAGGGTATATGTGATTCATACCAAAGGGAATTTTAAAAGTTGTACACCACGGTAACAAGTTTGCGCCAAAATACCATAGTTACCAGGTGTTATTTGCCTTAGTTTCCTAGAGGGTCAAACAGGTTAATTAATATAATAATAACAATATTTAATAATAAATTATTTGATAATTTATTTTATGAGTAACACCCACATTTGTGGCACACCGATGTATATATATATATATATATTTATATACATTTGTGTGACACACACACATAGCCAATATTGAGCAAGAATAATAATACTGGTCATTTTTGACCTTGTGGGGACATTTTTTTTTAGTCCACATGAGTAAAGCAGCATATACATCATACTACATTACGATGTAGTATGATGTATATGCCCTAACCCTAACCCTAACCCTAACCCTAAAAATGCAGAAGGTTTTGTGTGAGGGTAAGTTTGTAAAATAATTAATTATGTCCCCATAAAACATGGAAACCTAACGTGTGTGTGTGTGTGTGTGCACTGGTTTGGGTGGTTTATGAGGACACAAATTTGTATAATGACATGGGTATGACACAGGTATTACAATATGAAGGTGGTTTATGAGGACACTACCTGTGTCCCCGTAACTCAAAAGGCTTAAAAACATACTAAATGGTGTTTTTTTTTTTATTTTTGAAAATCTAAAAATGCACAAAGTTTCCTGTGAGGGGTAGGTTTAGATGTAGGATTGGTGTAGGGCAATAGAAAATACAGTTTGTACAGTATAAAAAAACATTACGCCTATGAAGAGTCCCCGTAAACCACCAACACCAAGATGTATGTGTGTGTGTGTGTGTGTCTTAAATGGTGGAAAATACCCCTGAAGATCAATTTCATGGGGCAAATAAAAACACAAACTTGAGATATAAAATACTTCGTAATGAGTTGGTGGAAGTTTATAGTTTCAAGGCAATGATAATCATGATACTCATTTGTGGAAAGAAAAGGCCATAATCTTTAAAAAATATATAATCATTAGGCCATAAATTTAGTTATATGTTCTGAACTTTATGATAACACTTTTTACTTGCTGTAGTATGTCCATCCTTATATATATATACAAAATCTTTGCAGCTATTTGACAACAATGAAAAAAGATCTGTAATTGGTGTCTACTAATGCAGGGCAACTGATCACAAGAAAATTAAATGCTGGAGCAGACAAATACTGTAGTCAGCATACTAGTCGATTGTTTTGAGGGGTAAGAAATTAATTTTGTCACCAAGATAACCTTTCAGTCCAAGCTCATACTGTGAGCTTAATAAATGTTTCTTTGGCTATTAGAATATGTTTAGTTTACTGTCTACTGAACATCAGTTATTAATATAACAGGCATGGATGAGGTCAGGAGAGGAAGCAGAATTATACTTCCTGGCAAAATCTCCAGAGTTTAACCTGATACCCATATATATTATAGTAAAGTGTTGGTTAATCCAGACAGCAAATCAACACACAATCAGCTGCATGTTGACATGGATGAGCTACAGTATTTTAGGCCCTGTTCAGTAGTGTAACGTTATATAAATTAAGTGTTCGGGTAATACCATTGAAAATATGCTTTACTTCAACACTGATCCAAGGTTAAATCTCTGTGGTACCATATTTTCAGCTGGACATTTTCATACTTGAGCATATGTTAGCTGTAATTAAATAATAATGGATTGTTATGCTCCTTCTTTGATTCCAGTAAGGGACAAGTGAAAAGAAGCATATGTTTGACTGATTATGTATATGATAGTCTTTATTTTTTGATACTTGACAACGTGTAAATTAGTCAAAAAATGGATAGCATGAAGAAAGAATCAGATCTAAATCCCTGCCATTCATCTTTGAATGCATTTACTAATGGGCTGCAAAGCAGAGGGAATATTATATAACATAGTGAATGCCTTTAGTAGCTTTGTAGTAATCTTTTCGTAGGTTGTATTTTTGGCCACACCATTGATTTTATATTTATACAGAAACTGACTTTCAAAAAGAAAACGACACTGAGCAATATTAACTGGAGTAAGAAGTGTGACAATTCTGTCCCCCTTTAAAGCACATGTATAAGAAAGGCAGTAAAAGTATGGACTAGCCTACTATTCCTTCAGTGAAAACGGATTTTACTATTAGCGTTTTTGTAGGCTATTGTAATTTAACTTGCATGAACGTTGCATGTGTATTAAGTGTTGTCAACGGTAGATGGCAGTGCGCGCACATTAAACGGGGGACGATTGCGCAAAAGATGGTACAGCATGAAAAGTAACTTTTCCGAATCAAAATGTTATTGACTTCCAATACGCTTATTTCAATTATTATGCTTATTTTGAAAAAAAAATGTTTGTCAGTATCATATAAAAAACAGTGCAGTTGTACTAAGAAAATTCCTAGCCAAGCAGAATAAGTCCTTTCATTCTTTATTTTAAGCTCATTCTGTTAAGCATCATTTTATTTATTTTAAAGTGACACAATTGCCAATAATATCAATCCACTCTAATAATTCTGATTTAAACCGCTTCCAAATGTCTTTCCAATGGGGGGCGCTCTTTGAATACTGAGCAACAGGCATTCAGTGTTACTCACTTTCAAGATATTAACACTATCTAAAGAGCAAAGGGGAGTTTCCAAAGTCATCAAGTCCATCCAACTTTGCCATTTTCGGCCAGAGACCACTGAAAATGACTCCCAAGAAGACTGCCGCTCCCTTCCTATGGTTTTCTTTTTGCTTTGGGAATGTTCTTGAGGCAGTGGTGCTGGGATCGGCGCAGTACCCCTCTGATAACGGGCTCCACTCACATCTGGATGCGCGCAGTTCAGCAGAAGCCAGCGCGAACTCTCGGAACGACTCCACATCTGTTCATGTTCCGTCTTACATGATCTCTCTGTACAGGACTCTATCGGAACTGGACCGACGGGCAAGCAACAGCAGCCAGACGCGCTCCAGGAGATATGCCAATACAGTGACCAGCTTCATGGACCTGGGACAAGGTGAGTGAGACTGATCCGCCGCTGAGACAGACAGATAGATAGATGGGTTGTAAAATGATCTCCTCCTTGAGGCCATCGCTGCGGATTTAATACCTTCAGATTGAGCCTGATCTGTTTATTTTTATATATTATACTTGGCACATAAAATCATCAATTGTAATGATTGGCATAAGGTAAACGCTGCAGTATTAAATCACTTAAGATCATGCTTGTATTATGACAGCTGACACTGTCATAGATGATCGATCTCGGTGTGACAGATAGCCTAATATGATTTAAAATTGATATATGAGGACAGTAGGGTATATTTCACCCATGATATATAGAATTTTTCTGATGGTCTGGATATTATTATTATCATCGAATAATTTTTAGCCTATTTGTTGCCGCCGACAACAAATGTTACTAATATTAAAAATTATAATTACGAACTCTTATTATTATTATTACTGATGGCACATCATTATGACTCCAGAAGAAGATGGCAATAAAAATACCATAATTTTGGTTTGTACATAAGAGAAATGCGTAGTTCTGCGTGTATTAGAATTACGCGAATAGTCTGTATTTCCTTTCCCCATTTAACTTGTAAAGAACCATAATCATTTATTAAATACTCTGTCTCGGTGCATGATTCCGTGTGAGTTGGATTGCTGTAATATGTGATGTGTTTATGAACATGCATAGCTCAAATTTAATTTTCTTTAGTATCATCTACTTCTCAATAATAGTTTCGAAATAGGCTACAATTCCAAAAAAGAAATATGAAGTCAAATGTCTCAAATTTCCAACATCTGTGACAAATAAACTTCAGCAGCACTAAATAAAGTATCTAAAACGGAGCACGCATTCTCCCCTCCAGGTGTTGCTGATAAAGATTTTAATTTAAAACTTATGTTCAAATAAAGATTGTCACGTAAAATACAGCATTTGTGAAATGAAGTATGTCAGCTCTCCTCCTGACCAAATATATAAAGATATGCGTGCAAAACACTTAGAAATTCTTCTGTTCTTGAATGTTCGTGTCATTCATATATTGACAGGCCAGTTATTACATTTGAGGGCACAGCCTTTGAATAATAAAAAGTGCACAATGCCACATTTGTTTAAGAGTATTAAGGGTAAGAATTATCATTATATGAATTCCAAGCATTTTATTTCCACTCATATTTTCCCACATTTTGCGAAGAGTGAAGAGTCATGCAATTTGATTTGATGATCTCTATTA